GCCCCCACTCTGGTCGACGCGGCCCGCTGGGTCCATCAAGCGGCCGGGCTGAGTATAAGACAGCGGCTGTGGAAGTTGAGCGACACAATTGAGTCCAGCAGCTCAGTCTCACCACCAACATGAACTCCTCCGTGAGTCCCGCTGTCGTTTTGTGGTGCGACGGACAGTAACAGTGCCGCCCCCACGTGTTTGCTTACTTTTGCTGTTGCTGCTGTTGCAGGTTGTCTTCCTCCTCGTGGTGCTGGCCGCCGTAGCCCAGGCCAAGCCGCAGCCCCAGATCCTGTCGTACGCGCCGGCAGCGTACGCAGCGGCCCCCGCCTACTCCTACTCGTACGCGCCCTCCGTCGCCTACACCGCCCCCGTTGCCGCCTACGCCCCCGCCGTGGCCGCCGCACCGTACGTGCGCTCTGCCTACACGTACTACTGAGCTGTAACACCGGCCAAGTCCGCTTTTGGTGATCAACCCTGTCTCATGAGGCGAGGGAAATAAATGTTTGTATCACTCAACCCCTCTATTCACTTTGTGCCCTTCACTCCCACTCACAGTCCAACTGAGTCCATGTAGCCGCAAGGGAAACCTTAATTAAATCCATACTGCAGTCTGCATACGTTTGTGGTTACTTTTTTAAAAAAATGTTTTCCGTGGGCTACATAGACGATTGTAGGTTAAAATAAAGCGGATTTTTTTCATTTTCAAGATGCCGCAAACGGATTGCCAAAAAGTTAAAAACTTCCAGAGGAAAGTGTCGCGCAGTGAAATTTTGTATGTTTTGTCGGCTCTTTCGGGCTTTTGTCACATTTCCTGTTACTCCCTTACAGCCAAAGACAAAACAAGATTTTTTTTAAAATTAAATGTTTTAAAAATTCCGTTTTTTTATTTTGGTTTTTACCGTTTGTGACTGAGAGGCATCTTTCAAAAACCATCGTTTTCAAAAGAGGGGGTAAAAGCCCCCTAAAATGTGTACAGGGACGAGACTGCCCCCTTAAAAGGGTTTTAAGTTCACTGTAATTTTTAACACTGGATTCATAAAAATGTCGGAAGTAACATTGTCATCTACTGAAACTTTTTTTTAATACGAATGCACTTAGGTTGTTGACATTCTTCGTTCAATTTAACAGCGTGCTAGTAGCAGGTTTCTCAACCAAATTATCTCTCACGGTAAAAACGGTACCTGGTTTTCCCAGGAGCCCTATGGAGAAGACATAGGCGATTTCCAGGGGGTTCCTGGGAAAACCAGGAACCGTTTTTGCCGTGCTCTCTAATTCGAGGGGTCCTATTCAAAAGATCTTATCTGGGCGTTCCCCCCAAGACAATCTTATCTTAAACGCTGGCGAATTTCACCCAGTTTGATCATTTGATACAGCTACAAACCAATATTATATGTTATAAACTTCACTGAAATGTGAAGATGAAAGACCAAATAAACCTAAAGTGCATGTAGAAATGTATTCCGCTTACTCTCGTACCCGTCCCAAATGGTCAAACTTAGTGAAATTCACCTGTGTTTAAGATAAGATTGTCTTCGGGGGAACGCCCAGATAAGATCTTTTGAATAGGACCCCTCGAATTTCAAAGTCGTCCAAATTATTCTTTTTCTTGCCTGTTGATATCCGACAAATGTTTTCCAATAAGATCGGAATAGAAGCAGTTATCGAACCCTGACGCTTGTGAGTAGCTACTTCTTAATACTTATCAAGTTTATTAACCTTTTCATTCGATGCTCACACAGATAAATTCCTACAAAGAACTGCTCGTTGTAATACAAAGAAATCGCAGGCTCCGCAGCCTACGAAGGAAATTATTTGTAAAACACAGAACTTTTTCTTCGTATGCTGCGAAGCCTCCGATTTCTTTGTATTACAACGAGCAGTACTTTTTAGGTTTCTAAGTGTGTACCTATTGGCCAATGCAGGGGATCGCGATGAAGATGCTTCGCTTGATTGCCATCTCCCCTCTTTGGACCAAGACAGTCACAGTGACCTCCGTAGTTGCTTTTGAAACCATTGGACAGTTCGGAGGACAAAGGTCGAAAAATATTTGATCTCCATGATGCGGAGCAGTCCCCGAAAAAAGTCTATTTAGCATTGTCAAATCTCAGAAAAATCGTTTCGTTCGCCATTATCGAGGGAATATCTTTATGATGCGCAGCGATTCTTAACCAGCTCCGCAGTTAAGGACACGAATGAGCCGTATTCTTGGGCGCTTCAAGAGTTTCTGGTCGGAGGAAGGAACTTTAGCTCGCTTCAACGCGACCTTGAAACTTGCACATTGTTTCACGGTTTATAGGACGTGTCACAATCGTTTATGAACATAAAGTCAAAAGAGGTTCGGTGGTTCTCAGCGATTTATTTCTCATCCTTCATCAGGCGGACTGAGCTGCTTGCCATGCTGAAATTCGAGGAAGACTCTGAAGTCGGTCACAAGCGTCGTCGGCGCTCAGTAGTACGTGTAGGCAGAGCGCACGTAGGGTGCGGCGGCCACGGCGGGGGCGTAGGCGGCAACGGGGGCGGTGTAGGCGACGGAGGGCGCGTACGAGTAGGAGTAGGCGGGGGTCGCTGCGTACGCTGCCGGCGCGTACGACAGGAACTGGGGCTTGGCCTGGGCCACGGCGGCCAGCACCACGAGGAGGAAGACGACCTGCAACAGCGGCAACAGGACCAGTCAGTTTCAGCTTGAGGCCGGAGTCGGGTTGCAACGACGAGACGACAGTGGCCGACTTACGGAGGAGTTCATGGTGGTGGTGAGTTTGAGCTGCTGCGGACTCAAATGTGACGCTCTGCCTCCACGGCCGCCGTTTTATACGCGCCGCCTGGACGCCTGGTGGAGCCGCCACGCTGACCACAGTGTGCGAGTCGATGCGAGGGGGAGGCAGGGGCGGCATTCAGTTTGTGGCAGTATAAAAGGAAACTAATCGAGCGTCGATCCGCGCTGGTGCAAAGATGCTTCATTTTTGGAGAGACGCGTCATGTCAGTTCCAGACAGACTTCGACCTCTGTACGGTGAAAAATGAAACTGAGACGCAGCAAGAGTGGGCCATGCTACCCTCTAGGGCGCCACGCAACATGAGAAAAGGTAATCATTAAAGAGCTCAGTCACCTGGTGACAACATCACCTAGTAGATGCTACTGTTGTTATGTCATTTCTGGACATCTATATCGTAAACGGCTTCCGATTCACAAGTTATGCACATAATAAGAAATATTTCAAAGTAGCATTCGGAGCCCGTAAGTTTTAATTAACTACCAGGCACTAGAAATGTTCCCCTGTTCTTTGGGGATTGCCTAAATTTGGTCTCGCACGATTTGGGGCTTGAATCGCTTCCTGCCGACACCGATGACGCCACGACCGCCCCGCCCCCATATCTGCCCCCACTCTGGTCGACGCAGCCCGCTGGGTCCATCAAGCGGCCGGGCTGTGTATAAAACAGCGGCTGTGGAAGGTGAGCGTCACATTTGAGTCCAGCAGCCCAGTCTCACCACCAACATGAACTCCTCCGTGAGTCCCGCTGTCGTTTTGTGGCGCGACGGACAGTGGAAGTCCCGCCCCCACGTGTTTGCTTACTTGTGCTGTTGCAGGTCGTCTTCCTCCTCGTGGTGCTGGCCGCCGTGGCCCAGGCCAAGCCGCAGCCCCAGTTCCTGTCGTACGCGCCGGCAGCGTACGCAGCGGCCCCCGCCTACTCCTACTCGTACGCGCCCTCCGTCGCCTACACCGCCCCCGTTGCCGCCTACGCCCCCGCCGTGGCCGCCGCACCCTACGTGCGCTCTGCCTACACGTACTACTGAGCGCCGACGACGCTTCTGACCGACTTTTGAGTCTAGAACCACTATATTCTGTCTTTTCTTTATTTTTTCGTAACGATTGTCATGCGTGCATCAACTTCCCTCTGTCATAGTTGCGTTAAGGAAATGGAGGTTAAATTGCTCTGTAGGCTCGGCAGTATGCTGCAATTCGCCTTTGAAGTGTGAATGACCAAACTTTTGTTGTTGAGCGGAAATAGGTCATCTTTATTTAAAATAATTATTCAACCACTAAAGGTGAGGTGTGGGTGAAAATTTGTACCAAATCTGAATAAAATGATAAATTCAATTCACTTGTTATTTTAATGTACAATATTTGTTATGAACCTGTAAGTGAGTGGTTCATGTAACATGGACTGGTGTATGTATGCGCCTTTTCTGGTCACCCAACTCTAACGACAAGTGTCGTAGAAATTTTTTCTACTCCGTCAACTAGCCACGCATACAGTTTTCTTTTATACTGACCTTACTTTTTGGAGTAGTTCTTTGTGTTCTATGTAACAATGTTTCTGAGAGATATTTTAAACAGCTATCCACTTTCTGAAATTGTATAACTTAAAGTGGTTAGAAATGGAAAAAAAAAACTTATTTTTTCCAATCAAAAAATTGTCAAGTTTGCTCAGTCAAAACAAAAAAATAAAATTCAAATATCTCTCTGGTACATTGAAGTTTAGGGGTTTAGGTAACTCCAAAACAAATTTCAGATCATTCCGTCAACAAACTTTGCATGGCTGATTTTTATACTAAACGCTTAATTTCAATGAAAAACGCCTACTGTGGCTAAATGGGTGGGTAGACTTGCATGAAATTTGGTGTGTAATAGTTTCCTACATGCTTAACTGCCCTAAAGTTTCAACCACCACAGCCAAGTGGTATAGAAGTTTCCATTTTCACCCACACCTCACCTTAAGACAATTATTCCTTTATTCTTTGATAATTGGTTACATTTCCTTTTAATTTTGTATTCCTGCAATATGGGTTGTGGCCACATAATCTGAACTGATGTTGCATTTACACCGCTCAAAATAATGAAAGGAAATCACCAGCGTCATTCGGGGCTTCTGAACTTACTCCTGAAATCATGACAACTTTTTTTTTCTAAGTCATTTTACAGAATGGTGTAAATAAAGTCGTGGACAATACGGTCGATCATTTGCGAATCGCTATGGCTGCGGTGTATTGTAAGTAAGATACAAAACCCATCATTAAACAATGTTTTCAAATTTTAATTTGTACTTCGGATTGATATTTACAATATACTGTTGGAGGAAATATACAGAATTAACAGACAACCAAAAGATATCTTCACTTTCTTCGACATATTTCACGGCCGGCCTGAATTATTAGAAACAGAATGGAACCATCCACACCAAGGCGGAAGCATAAGGCATTCCGAATTAAATGGCTCATTTCAAGACATATGAAAGCAACCTAACACACAACAAAAATTAGCATAACACGGTAGTGACAATAAAATAGAAACACGGTTCTCTGAGTTCGTCAGGCATTGCAGTGACACGGCCGCCACTTGAAGCAGTCCTTGGGGCAGTCGGTCGTCCTGGCGTGGCCCGCGAACGCCCGTCCCAGCGCAGCCCCCCTCAGCTCCACGTGGCAGCCCCACGCGCACCACTGGCAGGCGCAGTAAGGCCAGACGGCACTCAGGATGCGGAAGTGGAGTCTTGGGTTCCTCGCCAGCACGTCCAGGAGAGCGGGGCCGTGCAGGAAGGCGTGGGGGCAGCCTCCGGGAGCCAGCCTCAGCTCAGTGAGGCAGGGCGCAGTGGAGCTGCTCACGGCCCGCAAGAAGCTGTCGAAGGGACCTGCATCTTCGATGAGAAGCTCCAAGGTCTGCAGGGACGGGAACTGGGGTAGAGTGGAGGCCACCAACTCGAACATTTCGAGTTTACAGGGCAGGCTCAGGCTTTGAAGGGCATTGGCACAGGGCGATTCGGCCAGAGCGCGCAACGGAGCAACAATGTCAATGTGAGCCTTGAGGCCTTCGAACGTAACAGACTGGAGACGCGGCGCCTGGCGGAGGTAGTCCAGCAGTCCGGGAGACCATGCGCCGTCATGTTCAACGCTGAGTGACTTTAGGTTGGGTAACCCCTGTAACTGGGACACACAGTCTTGGCTACTGCAGCGTAACGACCATAGCCTGGGCATGTTTACCAGCAAAGCAACAGGGAGCTCCCCCAATACCCTAGAGATAGCCACTTCTTCCAGAGTCGCTGCGTGCGTTCGTAAGACTAAGCCCATAAAGGGGTCAACGTCGTCGACCCTTGCTTGGTAGCTCAAACAAGTCACAGACGGCCTTCCCTCCGGCCATGAGACAGTTTGCGGCAGTGATGAAAGTTCGACTGAATTGAAAGTGAGTAGGCGGATATCCTTCAGACTGAATGCCACCCGTAAGATTGGATCCGTCTCAAAGGAGGCAATAGCGTACATAATATCCAAATCAAGCTTCCGCAGACCACCAAGAGCAGAGATCACGTGAAGTGCGGCCACGGCGAAGGCCTGGCCAGACTCGTCCTCCAGTACCAAAGCAAGCTCGCTGACGACACAGGTGGTGCTGTACACTGCGGCTGTCAGGTTCGCACTGAACGGGCTGACGACTATCAAAGTGCGGAGACATGGGGCGAGGCGGAGGGCGGCGCAGAGCGGTCCTTCAAAGTCATTGTCCAGTCGAACCGTCCTCCAAAGCTGCGGGTGCAAGCAGAGGTCACGGAGGCGGCGGCACACCGGCCGGCACTTGAGGAGCTGCCTGGGCTGCAGGAAGGCCAGCACGGCCAGCAGCGCGTCGTCGGGCAGCGCCAGCAGCTGGGGCACAGGGACGGAGCGGGTGAGAACACTTGGGTGCTACGAAGGTGGCAAGTTTCGCACTCTGCAAAACCTTACAAACTATTCTAGGCCTTAAAAAGAACACTGAAAAAACTACTTTAGTGAATGTTACTATACCCGTATAGTAAGCCCATTAGTAGTGCACAGTACTTTAAGTTTAGTGCGCGTTACGAAACGCTTATCGTAAAAGTTACTATACGCTGTGGTAAGGGTTCTTTGGTGGCTGCCACTGCTGTATAGTAAATGCCACTACACCGGTGTTGTCGCCTGCCCCTCCCCTTGCCACATCCCCCCGCTGAGACCCGCCGCGCGGCCACCCCCACCCCTCCCACTCCTGCCGCTCGGCGCGCTGCTGCCTTGCACGTGTTTGCTCTCTGCAGGCGATGGTCCTCACGGGCGAGGGTGGCCGAGTGGTACGGCATCGGCGCAGAGTGCCGACGGCGTGGGTTCAATCCCGGGTCGCAGCAGAAGTAAGAGTGACAAGCCTAGACCATTCGGCTCCACCGCGAAGGGCGGTACAACAGGAGGGGAGGGGAGAGGTCCTGCGGCGGCAGCCGCTCGCATTTTGATTGGTCCGTATCCGTACTATACGATAGTGCGGTTTACTATACGGTATAGTAGAACACACTGTAACGGTATAGTAGGACACACTGTAAATTTTAGTGGCTTACACTAAACGGCTGTATAGTAACATTCACTATTAATTCCAGCTGTCGAAAAGTTACTATACGGTATAGTAAAAGTTACCATCGGTTTGGTGACCTTTACTATAGATTTTTTTCAGTGAAAAGCAGTTTGTTTTAACTGAGTAATTCGAGCATACATACACTCTAAAAAAAAATTGTGGTAGAAATCCTATAAAAGTATCGGACGCATTTAACCTATTCGGTATAGGATTTTTCCCACACAGGACATGGTAATTTTACCATATGTCGATATGGCAAAAATCCTATACGTGTTGTTGGGTTTCTACTATATTAGGGTGTGGGGAAAATACTACACCGTGTATGGTAAAAATCCCATACGACTTGTGGGATGTTTTCGTTACGTGAGGTGGTGAAATTCCTATTCATGCACAAGGAAAGCTTATTTAGTGGATCGTTAGACATCACTCGGGAGAACATGGCATGGTACCACTTCTCTCGGGATGGCATTTCAAAAATGAAGTTGTTAGGACTCCAGCAGAAGTAACCTCAAATTCGGAAGTGAGATCAGTCCTGCCTAAGACCCTCTGACACGAGATGGATCGCTTGGATTGGAGGAAGATCTTGCGTGCACCCAACCTAATGGCCGACCGCAGTCGCCAGCGAGTGGCAACATGGTAATGCGTTTTTCTGTACTATAGTGTAATATTTTGTTCAAAACTGGAAGCCAACGGCTAGGGCTGACACTTACTTAGGCAACAGATGATATAGTTGTCGAAAATTATTCACTTTAGTAACATAAATCGGAAATACTTATTGGTGAACGGGCACGGCGCTCCAAGCGCCACCTAGCGGCAGGTTTGTGAAACCTGGCGCCAGGCGGCTGACAGTGGACCCTTATACCCACAGTTCACGTTTTACAAGGTAACTTAACAATAGACGATGCCAAAATGCTTTGGAGCGCTACGTTTATTTTCAGTCTCATTATAATATCACAGAAAAGTTCGCAAGGATTTAAAACCATGGCTCATTTACATAAATAGTTCTCAGAGTTGCCGCGATTTTCAGAGACTAATCCATTTCAAGTTTTACTGAAGAAGTCGAAATAATCTAAAACCATATGTGATAATGGGGCAGAACAAGAAACAAAATAACTTTAAACCGGTGTTAACGATTCGTCTAGTGCCAATTTCTATACAACGGTTTGACACACATGAGCTTTTGTTTACTTTTCTGTGGGCAGTTTAGCCGCCTTAGTCCTTGTGCAGCCTGTTATCAATATTGAATATCCATTTTGTTCCCCTCTCTCCTGAAAAGATTTTTCAGAAATGTTTGGGATTCTTACTAATGCGTTGTTGGAAAAGCACTATACAACGGCCTGAAGAAATAGGATTTCTACTAAAAAGTGTGGCAAAAAACCGATCACGAGTATAGGAAATCAAATTCCTATACTCGGTTCGGATTTTTACTACACCGCATTGGCAAAAGAACGAAAAGCATAGGAATTTTCCAAATCACGTATAGGATTGTCGTTTCCCATACCGCAGTTGGTACTTCTACCATACGACGGTGTAGTACAAATGCCATTATTTTTTAGAGTGTAGGCTTACAAAAAAAATAGTACTTCGAAATTTTTCGAAGTATTTCTTCTTTTATTAAAGTACATTTGTTTGTATTCTGTATGCTCAAAATACTTCGGAAGGTTTCAAGCGTGCAAACATAAGGCAGTAATAACAAGGCTTGATTCTCTCAAATTGTGGAAAAATACTCTCAATGGAGACTAAAAAGCTAAAAGCTACAGCTTTTAAACGGAAAATTCTATAAATTTTAGAGACAAGATTCTCCGCAGCCCTCTTGTCAATATACTCCGTAGGACCTCACAGTTTTCTGGAAGACTGAAAAGTCTTACGGAGGACAATGTAGGGTCCTACGAAGAATACTGGGAGGTTCTGCGGAGAAAACTGTGACGTCCTGCGGAGAATATTGACAAGAGGGGACAATTATCAGATTAACCCAAGAGTATTCAGGTTGAGGCACACTGTTAATGTCATACGGCGAAATGCTGCAGTAACATATCATGGGCGAGATTTTCTCCATAATACCAACGAAATTCGTCAAAATATCGATACGGTACAGTAAATCCTCAATGGTATGTCACGAAGTCAGCTGCACTTCATAATATGGAACATTTTCACCATACTATGGAGAATTCTCACTGTACAACATGTAGAGTGCCTGTACATGCGTTTTGGGTATTTTGGTTTCTAAGACAGAAGAAACTAGTAGTTTGTCAAACACCAAGGATACAGTATTTACTTTGAGCACACAGAAAACCTTATTTAAACTCTTAAAGCCAAACGGGAACTCGCATAAATTTGTTAGGGTAGTCCATAAGCAAGCAGAGCTGTACAAAATTAAGATAATACTGCATGCTCGTTAATTATTGACGTACTTTCACATGCTTAAAACGTACGGAGTATCTCGGGCCTACCTAATACAGACTAACTTACTTTGTTACACGAAGAAATAGTTAAAAGATGACGAAGTAGTACTTTCTTTGGAAGCTTACGTATGTTCAAGATACTGTGTTATAACAAGCTGCTAGCTATGCTCTAATTTGAAAGGCCTAAAATAGTTGGTAAGGTTTTCGGAGAGCAAAATTGTCAATATTTGAAAGAAAAATATTCCGACATTCCTTATAGGGCCATCGACAACCAAACTTCTGCCCCCCCCCCCACTCCCCTAACGTTAAAGTATCTCAAAATGAACGACAGTGAAAGCCATCGCAGCTAGCAACGATCGGCTGAAGGTTTCAGAGAAAAATATACTCACAGTTGAAGGTTCGTCCATTGCAGAAACCGATGCAGATGTCGGATGGCCGCACTCCATACTTCCTGAAGTTCTTATGGTACTATGGACCTCCGATTCGGTTCTCTGAACTGGCGTTGGTGGAGAACAATCTCTGAGTGGAAGAAGAAAGGACATGGAAATAAGAAGTGGTAATATCTTCTGCAGCTTTGATCGAAGACACACTCTAAATGTCTTACGATGAAATAAACCATACGAAGGAAATGGCGCAAGCATAATACGAAGGTGGTTTTTCATCGTATGTATTACGAAGGTTTGTATTTGTATCTTAAAAAGAACAAGCTAAAAAGACTAGTATTACGAAGGAATATTGCTTCGTATTATGCTTGCGCCGAATTCACTTTCACGTACGAATAAAGTAGGTTAAATTTCACTGTAAGACATTCAGAGTGCACACGTTAAAGGAATCGGTACGTTACGCCAAGACAAGCCTGCAGAGGATGGGCTTTCTTACCTTTCCTTGGACGTTTCACGGAGTTTAGAGGCGCCGGGCTCGGGAGGTGGTTCCACGCCACCACCAAGGCTGCAGCCTGCCACTAGCTAGCGATTCCAAGCAGCCCCGCACTGAAAGAAATCCATTGTGAGAGGATGAGTCTACTGGACACACCGTAGAAGGAAAGGGGAGAATAAGTACGGAGGACGTCCGGTCAACAACAAGGTATTTCCGCGGCTCTTGAAACGGAAGGAAGAAGAACACAAGTAAGGGCACAACTTCCGTCCCCTCGCCCGTTCAAGGGGCAGCCATTATCTCCTCCTCAGGCGAGGGGACGGAAGTTGAGCACTTACTTGTGTTCTACTTCCTTCTGTTTCAAGAGCCGCGGAAATACCCTGTAGACACCTATAGATGCTTCTGACAGAGTACAGAGACAAGTGGAAACAGTTGCCAAATATCGCTTCTTCTTTGACGATAAATGTTCATTCTAAAGCCAAAATTTCAAGAAAGCTAGATTTTAAGGTTGCACATTTGACTTAAACCTGCCGAAACCCCCAATTCCTTGTTTCCGGGCCATGCTCTTGTTCTTCACTTCAGGCATTGCTTGAAGTGCGTCTAATTCCAGACACCATCTTGCCAACTCCAGGATGAGTTCTATCACTTAAAAACATCAAAACCTCCAAATAGGACGATTTTGGGAACTGGTTCCGGTGCTTAATACTCCTCTTGTCCTTCACTCGGCATTCTGGTGGAAGTGTCTAGTATTAACACCTAATTATTCATACGTAACTAGAACACAATAACTCACGATTTTGTTCATATCCCTGTTGGTCCGTGGACAGAACTGAACATTATTGTTCACTAATTCGAGTGAAACGAAACGCAGGTATAAGTGTGTATACGCGGATGTAAGTGAGAGTGGGGCGATTTGTAACAGATTTCGGAATAGGGTATTTCGGAGCAGCCCTGGCCCGGAAGAAGAAGAATAAAAACGGAAGTTAGAAATAGCAGTTTTCATGAGAAATATACGCTGCGGATCCTCATCTGCAGCGTATATTTCTCATAGAAACTGCCATTTCTAACTTCCGTTTTTGTCCTTCTTCCGGGCCAGGGCTGCTCCGAAATACCCTATTCTCTATACAAAATAAAGAACATTCTGCATATCGATGTCAAACTTGAGCCAGTTGAACAGTCTGGCTAGACTGTACAGCTCCATTGGACCAATCTGGGATCCGTAATCTTGGAAATCTACACTCTCAGCCTTTTACTGACTTTTTCTCATCAGCTTACGCATTTCTGTAAGCAACCATAATACTTAGTATTTTTTGTCAGTATTGCTTAGCAATTGCTAATTACTGTACTGATATTACCGTTTTCTTAGTAAATTACAAAGAAATTTTTACGTATTTAAGAACTTAATACTAAGTATTATGGTTGCTAACAGAAATACGTCTGCTAATGAGAAATAGTCAGTAAAAGGCTGAGAGTGTAAGACGCTTCCCAAACCCTTGCATGCTGTTACGAATCGCCCCAGTATGGGGTGATTTGTAACAGCCATGGGGCTTTTCATAACATCCTACACATTAAATGAAACATCGTCGGGAATGTTATCTCCTCCAGCAGTTGTTCTTCGGATGTCCTGCGGACGCCTTAAAGTCTACATTACAAGCTGCCGTTGACCACCTCAACCCTAACCTCACTTTTTTCAATTTTGAAGGAAAGAATAGAATATCTCGCTTTAAAATGCATTTTGAGCTGTGTAAATGTATTGGAATTAGGCAGCAGATGATTCGAGAAATAATTCAAGCATTTAATTGCAAAAACTACTTAAATTCTTGTTTTTATGCGGGTCTGTTACGTATCGCCTCAAATGCCTGTTACGCAAGAAATATGTCCCTAACTATCACTGGACAAAGTAAAAGCAACTTATGCCACGTGGTTACATTGTAAAGGGGTCACGCTTCAAGGCCCCAACGGTACTTCGATGGTGCTTCATACCTGGGGAGCCTCGGACAGAAACTTCTTAGAATTCAAAATTAAAGATTTGCCTGTTTTCGCTGTACCCTAAATTTCAGACGCCCTCCAAAACTACCTGGGCACCGATCACATCCGCTTCGATTGTTCAAGGACCCTCTACCTGAAGCGAAAAAGGGGCCATACTCAGATTTTCCTCTGCTCCCTCCACTTAAATTAATAAACGCATTTGTTACGTATCGCCCCTGTTACAAATCGCCCCACTTTCCCTTACTTCAATGCCAAGAGTGTTATGGAAACCTATGTGACTTGTACCAAATGATCTCGTGGAAACCGCCACGGAGGTACACTCTTTGTTACTTTGATGGTTGAAGCACATCCGCGTACACACTCAAACCTGCGTTTCGTTTCACTCGAATTAGTGAACAACAATGCTCAGTTCTGTACACGGACCAACAGGGATATGAACAAAATCGTGAGTTATGATATTTAAGATACGTGTGAATTAATAGGTGTTTTATACAGTGCAAGCCGACAGGGCGCCTGAGCGGAGTAGAGGCATAATTCAGGGACCACTCGACACAGTCTGTTGACTGCAGTAACAAGAGTAGGTCACCCCATCAACCGGAAAAATGTGAAAACAATTTGATTGCATGCTTAAAATTGTTTCTCAAGTTCTTGAGTGCGCTGATGACGAAAGTGATAACCTTTTGGACCGCGAATGTACCGAATCGCGCTATACGAGGATTAGAATGAACATTTTCAGTGCAGAGTTGCCGAAGGGTATCGCCACTTCCTTTGCTGTTCACTGTCACAAAGCTAGCAGGTGAAACCGTTTGAGCTTCACTGGTAAAACTAAAGCGTGTAGAAAGACCCTCAGTTTCCAAGCGTAATCGATTTACGCTCTAAGCGTAACAGGCTCACCAGTCCAAATTCCCCTCATCTAAATGTATGGCGGAATGTCTAGTCTATGCTTCGTTTTAGGTGTAACATAATGTTTGACTCGGGCACAGAGTTACGCTAGTTCAATCAGTGTAATAACGAAATTTCGAGTCAGCAGACACGTCTACCATTACGCTTAGTGAATAAGTCTACGAAGCATGCTTCATAACTACGAGGAAAATGAAAGCAATTGCTTCATATGAAGAAATGCTCCGTATTACGAATGTTTTCGCGTCATAATACAAAGCATTTTCTCGTAGATTTAACAATGTCTTCGTTTTCATCGTGTTAAGAAGCAATTATTCGTACAGTCTTTACTGTACAGAAAAACTTAAACCGGGAACAATATTTGCAGAGGAGCGACCTCCATGACTATATGTTACTTGAGGTTCTAAATACAATGTGGATAAAATTTAAATTAAAAAAAAAAATGCTTACTTTTGTGACTTAAACCGGTACAAACCTTGGCAAACCAAATACGGCGATTCTGGGAACTAGCCGCTCGGTGGCACTTTTTCCTCCTCCTCACTCGGCGTCCTGGTGGGAGTGTCCATCAGAGGAATAGAGGCCTTACCCCACGTACAATCTTTCTTCAATGGTCATCAGCGCTCTGAAGTCTCATCAGGCGTATCACACGACTTGCGTGTACAAGTTCTTAGTTGAGTGCTGCGAACCCCTTTCAGCTCCCCCCTTTTTTTTACCCTCCATCAAAGTGTACTGTGACTCGTAACTTCTTCCCAGAGCGCCGGCTGTACCCCAGTCTACTAATTCATTAGTTCTTTTCTAATATGCTCTGACGTTTATAGCGTATTGTTGCGCTGGCCCCCACTCTCACTCCCCGCTGCAGCGGTACGCAGACTAGCGAGTTGCGTTGTTGAAGGACCTGTCCTCCAAACGCACCAAGCAAGCGCGCTCCACTGACAACGGGCGGCAGTCGTCTCGGTAGAACCACTCGGAACGTTACGGCAAGGAAATGTCGCCTGCACTCATGGAACCCTTCTAAGAACTGCTCGGTGTAATGGAAAGAAAACGAAGGCTTCGCAGCCTACGAAGGAAATCGTTTATTATACAAACGATTTCGTTCGTAATTTAAAAAGAAAAAAAAACATCCTTTGTAGCCTACGAAGAACTTCTTCGCAGCCTGCGAAGGATTATTTTCTGCTTCGTATTACAAACTAAATCGTTCTTGTTACAAACGATTTCCTTCGCAGGCTGCGAAGCCTTCGTTTTCTTTGAGTTACAACGAGCAGGTCTATGTAGGAATTTATCTCTGTGTGCATGCGCCGCTTGCGTAACCTGTTCATTTCTCGCATCGCCCTCGTCCGCTGCGTATTTTCCACAAAATCTTCTAAAGGAACTATCGCTCCTAGTTGGTGTCTTTATTTTTCTTCCGCTCTGTGCCAGCAGTGCCTGTTCTTTCATCACGTCACATCCGCGGTTGAGGCATCCGAGCAGACATCCATGTCAAGTCCACCATCGAAAAGACCCCATAGGGCGGTTGAGCTTTCCCCCAACGTCATCTTCTCGACGTCCACGTCGGCTCCTATGATGGACGAATCTCAAACTGTGAGTATACTGTTCATATCGTCATGTTAATCAGCCGGTTCTGGCACACTCCCAAATTCCTGAGGCAAGTTACCTACGGTGAAGAGTTCTCAATAACTTATGACCAGTTTCTTCATATTACGAACAAATATCTCAGTATTATGATGTATCGTTAGGTACTGAGAATGAGCTTACTCATTGAAAACTCTACGAAGAATTCCTTTTTAATACAAAAAAAATTGGAGGCATTGTAAAATCTTTGAATAAATGCTTCGTATTATGAAGCAAAATCCTTCGTAATACTAAGCATTTCTTCATAATACGAGGCAATTTTACAACGCCTTCGTTTTCTTCGTAATTACAAAGTAATGCTTCGTGGGCTTTTTAGTTATAGTACAGCGGTTCCCAACCCTGGGGTCGCAAAAAAATTTCGAGGGGTCGCGGCGAGGTGGCTGGGGTCGCCTGGGGTCGCGGTGGTTTCCCGTCTAGCCCACACGTCGAGCACTGGCGGGAACAACTTTGCGGCAATACTGCTCCCAAACTAAGGCAGATAATCGCACTCCGTAACAAAGGCATGCTAAAGGAAGGTCCAAAGACCAATTGCCCGTTGAGGGAGGACGAAATACCGCCTCGAATCAGACGCAGTGACTGCTTAAATGCCGCAAAGTTGATCAAAACGGTCACAAATGTCTGTAAAAAATCGTGTTTTGGGCCGACTTTCAGCATCCACTGCGTCTGATCCGAGGCGGTATTTCGTCCTCCCTAAACGGTCAATCGGTCTTTGGACCTTTCTTTTGCATGCCTTTGTTACGGAAAGCGATTATCTGCCTTAGTTTGGGAGCAGTACTGCCGCAAAGTTAACCAAAACGGTCACAAATGTCTGAAAAAACGTATTTTGATCAACTTTGCGGCAATACTGCTTCCAAACTGAGGCAGATAATCGCACTCCGTAACAAGGCATGCTAAAGAAAGGTCCAAAGGCCCGTTGAGGGAAGACGAAATACCGCCTCGTATCAGACGCAGTAGATGCTTAAAGTCGGCCCAAAACACGATTTTTCACAGACATTTTTGACCGTTTTGATCAACTTTGAGACAATACTGCTCCCAAACTAAGCCGGATTATCGCACTTTGTATCAAAGGCATGCTAAAGAAGGGGTCGCGTGGGGTCGCGAAATTTTTCCTGGGGGTCGCGGAAATTTTTGGCTACAAATTTGGGGTCGCGAACCGAAAAAGGTTGGGAACCGCTGTTATAGCATTATGACTGCACGGCATTTCTTAGTAGGAAATTCGTAGTGTACCTGAAAGTGGACATTGGAGTGTACGCGAAAGTGTACATTGGAGTGTACGCGAAAGTGTACATTAACTTTCGTCACTGCTAATCAGTTAATCGCGATATTTCTGAAATGCAATGTCCGCGCATTAACATTAGGATAATTGTTTTTCACTAGTTTTTTTTTTTTTTTCAAAACTGTTTAAAATTGACTTTGAAAAAAATTGACTTTTGGGGGAACGAGAACCAAAATTTTAAACGTTTCTACTAAAATTCCACAAAATTTTCTTGGTCACTTAACATCAAAATGAAGCTTACTTAATTATCAAAAAGGGTTTTAATACAGAAATTATAAGATCCTTCTACACCAAAAAACATGTTTTTACAAGGTGCTTTTAACATGTATGAGCCCCTTGAAGGCACAAGACAGCCCTAAATTTTGTCCTTCCCATTATTTGCCGGAATCACTCGACCCTTTTGATCGCTGCTTGCTGTTTGAAACTTTTTCACATGGCCTAAACGGTCTCTGGTTTCTCAAGGTAGATTATAGTAAAGACATATGCGATTTCCAGGGAGTCCCTGAGAAAACCAAAACCATTTCTGCCGTGCTCACTTGTAGCACTTAAGTGCACAGTGCAAACTCTACGAAGAATCTCTTTGTAATGCGAAGAAAATGAAGGCATTGTTAAATCTACGGATAAATGCTTCGCATCATGAAGCAAAATCCTTCGTAATTCTACAATGCCTTCATTCTCTTTGTAGCTACGAAGCAAATGCTTCTTAGGCGTTTGAGAGTGTGCTTACACCCGCTCCGTCCGTGTGCCCCAGCTGCTGGCGCTGCCCGACGACGCGCTGCTGGCCGTGCTGGCGTTCCTGCAGCCCAGGCAGCTCCTGAGGTGCCGGCCGGTGTGCCGCCGCCTCCGTGACCTCTGCTTGCACCCGCAGCTTTGGAGGACCGTGAAAGTGCTCAAAGACGATAAAGGACTGCAGTGCGCCGCCCTCCGCCTCGCCCCATGTCTCCGTCTTTTGCAAGTCGCCAGCCCGTCCAGTGCGAACCTGGAAGCCGCAGTGTACAGCACCACCTGTGTCGTCAGCGAGTTTCATGTGACACTGGAGGAAGAGTCTGGCCAGGCCTTCGCCGTGGCCGCACTTCAGCTGTTCTCTGCTCTTGGTGGTCTGCGGAAGCTTGCAGTGGCTTTTAAGTACCGCATTGCCTCCATTGAGACGACTCCACTCCTTCGGGTAGCCTACAGTTTGAAGCATATCAATCAACTCACTATCGGTTTTGCATCGCACCTGCTTTCGCCCGAACCTTTGCCGTGGCCTGAGCAGAGGTCTTCCCTGACTGCGTTGCAGTACATTACAGGAAGCGTTACGGCGGACCCCTTTCTTGGCTTATTATTACGAACACACGCGACGACTCTGGAAGAAGTGGCTTTCGATGGTGCATTGGAGGAGCTCCCTGTTGCTTTGCTGGTAAACATGCCCAGGCTGCGGTCGTTGGACTGTCGTAGCCAAGACGGTGTGTCCCAGTTACAAGCATTACCCAGCCTAGAGTCAATCTCTCTCTACGTTCATGATGACGGCGCATGGTCTCCCGGGGTGCTGGACTACCTCCGCCAGGCGCCGAAACTCCGGTCTGTTACGTTCGAAGGACCACAAGCTCACATCGACATTGTTGCTCCATTGCGCGCTCTGGCCGAATCGCCCTGTGCCAATACCCTTCAAAGCCTGAGCCTGCACTGTAAGCTAGACATGTTCGAGTTGGTGGCCTCCACTCCACCCCAGTTCCCGTCCCTGCAGACCCTGGAGCTCCACATCAAAGATGCAGGTCCCTTCGACACCTTCTTGCGGGCCGTGAGCAGCTCCACTGCGCCCTGCCTCACTGAGCTGAGGCTGGCTCCCGGAGGCTGCCCCCACGCCTTCCTGCACGGCCCCGCTCTCCTGGACCTGCTGGCGAGGAACCCCAGACTCCACTTCCGCATCCTGAGTGCCGCCTTGCGTTCCTGTGCCTGCCAGTGGTGCGCGTGGGGCTGCCACGTGGAGCTGAGGGGGACTGCGCTGAGACGGGCGTTCGCGGGCCACGCCAGGACGACCGATTGCCCCAAGGACTGCTTCAGGTGGCGGCCGTGGCTGCTTGAATGATGACCGAGGAAACCATTTTTATTTTCAAATCATTTGCACTATTTGCTAATTTGTGAAGCGGGTCATCTTTCTCGTGAAATGAGTCAATTTCCTGATTTCGCCTTGTTGCGGTTATGGTAGTTTACCATTTTAAGTTTCCACACGTGGATATGTAAAATTTTGAAAAAGTGAATTTTTTTTAGCGCCGAAGAATTAACCGTGCAAACAGTTTGTTGTACCAGAAAATTCCAAATAAAATTTGAATTTGGAAACTTGCTTACATCTTTTCAAGTGCGTTAGTCAGAGGGCTATGAGCGGCTTAACCTTGCTCTCTTTGACCCCGGTCTGGCGCTTTGCACGAGTGTTCTGGAGACCCAAAATATCGATTTGAGAGCTGGAGGCACTCTGGGGAACGCTGCAGGGACCGCTGGGAAGTGAAAATCTTCTATTTCTTGGTAAAATTGCGTTGCAATTTCAGAATTTCGGAACACTACGAGAACAGGGCTGATGGTTTCTGCTGAGACTTTCGCAAATTGCGGTGAGTCATTTGGAAGATTCATTCAGGCTATCGGTGAGTGCAAGTGCACCGTTTGTAAGTTCAGTGATTACTGCAGTCGCCGAACTCCCCTTCTGACCCGCACAAGGCAGGGCCTTTAGAGTGTGCCGTCCACTCTCAGCACGTTACTGAGCGTAACGTTTATTACGTAAACAGCAATAATGCTTAGTATTTTCTAAGTAAATATGACTAATTTCCTTTGTAAAATTATGTACAAAACAAAGTTCTCAGTCCCCTCTTTAATATTTCCTAAGTAGTTCTTTAAAGAAAGGAAAAATTGCTCACTATGATTTCACAAATTACTTGCATAAGTACTGACAAAATGATCCAAAACTCAATAAGGTGCTGAGAGTGTCTGCACGAAAACTTCCTGCAAAATAGGCACTCCGAGAAAGCACGTGCATCCTCTTACAGGAGAGGATCCTTGTGACTGCACATTCTTCTCGGAGTTCCCTAAGAGCTAACGTTCAGACACTTGCAATGGAGAAGCCTTTTGAGTGCACTGTGTGCAATAAGAAAGTCCACCGATGCAGTGACCTTAAAGTTCACGTTCAGACCGTTCAGACCCATGTAGGGGAGAGACCTTTAAAATGCCCCGTTTGCATAAACAAAATTGTCTATCGTTACCACCTCGGAATGCACCTCCGGACCCATACGGGCGAAACTCCTTTTGATTCACATCCAAACGAATGAAACAATACTCAAAGGAACGCGACATTTTGTCACATTCATTTGAACGTGACGTCACGTCCCTACAATAAGAGTGTTCTCATTTCCATCCTCGTTTTATGGAAAGGAACCCATAACTTAAACCTTGGTGTGCATTTGCTTCGCCCGAGGAATATTATCTGCAAGACAAGAGATCGCAAGATAGAAACATGCCTCTTTGCTGACATGATACCGAAAGACACGCTCGAGGAGAGTACTCAGGACGACCGTTGGGTTTGCCCAGTAGCGCATTTGGCGTGCTGAGACCATGGCGCGCTCACTGCTACTGGTGACTCTTCTGATCGCGGCTTCTATCCACATTTTCGCAGGTATCCTGCTGCGCCGTCGTGAACTTATTTATCCATGGCCAAACTTAATTTTCAATTTTCACAGGTTTTTTCTCAAGTTCTTGTTTTATCAGGTATCTTTATTTCGAATCAACATTTTGTTGTAGTTCAAAACCGTATGCGCGACCATATATGGTCTCAATGAGTCTCAATATGTTATGTAACCAAGTACTTCGAGTCTGCAACGTATCGCTTTTAGTTTTTAGGCACTTTGCACTCTCAGCCTGTTTCAGACCCATGTTTCATCAAAGACGTGATCGTCAAATAAAAGTTCAAAGTTGGCATTTTACGAAAGGAATTTTCGTTTATGTTGATTAAATATAAACAAGATGGATTGTTAATAAAGCTCGTATTGAGAAAAAATAAGCAGTTCTTTCAGAAAGAAACAGTTCTCATTATGTTTGCACAGATTACCTTCTGGAAAAATAATCCCGAAGTCTGTAAATTGGCTGAAAGTGGATGACAATAGTACCTTTATTTCCTACGTAAGTGCGTCACAACTGTCATTCAACGTTAATCTCTAACTGCGCCAAGATGATCTTATCTCTTCGTTGGAACATTAATCAAGGAGTTAGCTAGTACACTTTTAATGTCGTCCAATGAGATTTAACTCTTGAACTTGGCGCGAGCCCAATGTGAACCAAAATTTCTCCATGTCCTGAATCTGGTTTCGATTTTCATCGTGAGATTCCAAGAAAAATGTGTAAAACAAATTTCCACTGTATTATGATAAATTTCGTCGCAAGACACATAGAGTTTCAGAGTTTCTCCTCTGCCCGGTGGCTAGGCTCCACCACACTCTGATTCAGTGTGATCACGTGACGTCATACCCGTTGAGTAGTTGCATCCTGCTTCAGTTTCTCTTCTTCACCCCAACTCCTCAACATAAATTATATTACAGACAATGAAGTCCCACGGCTGAGCAGCTTTCGCAAAGACCATATCCGATTTTACTTTTTCAACAAGTAAGTGACAAAGGAACGCCACGAATTTTTTCAGCGGTTACTTCTATTCTGTACTAACCATTGATACTTTCTCTGAAGGGGCAACGCACATCTGGATAAGGGATACCAAATTGGAAATGAATTCAACGTGCAGGACATCTTGGCATCTGGCTTCCGACCAACCAATCAGACTAAAGTGATCATCCCTGGATGGTCCAGTGCAGTCAATAACCCAATCATACAACTTCTTAAAAATGGTAAGAACCTCACAACTTTGACATAAAAAAAAACTATGCCATTTAGAACGTTGTTAGTTTGTGTGACTCCTAATTTTGCAGTAAATAGCAAGGGTTCTTAGTATCTAAATAAGAACCCTTGTTTGAAAGTAGTACATCAGTTGCAAAAAAGTATTCAAAAAGTTCCCCATTTGATCCATATCGATAGAAAATCATGCGCTGAAGTCAGTGTTATCAAACAAAATGCTCCTTCCTGAACTCGTTTCTGAGATAAATGCAGTCAAAGTTCGGATTTTTAACATGGGTCTTATGGGGAATGGGTCTAAAAAAACATGCTAACGTTATTTTTGGCACATAAGGAGTAATAAGAAGGCAATGAAAAACTATAGTTAGATAAAAAAAACACTACATAGAATCAAAATCCTTCCAGAAAAACGGGGGTTCCTGTCCAAAGGTGAGAACTACAGAACAAAGAATGTCCAAAAAATGCCCTCTTTTGGGTCAAAACGCGACTTTGGCCGTTTTTAAAGTTGAATTGGTCAAAACCCTGTAGGTTAACATCAAAATTGCATATGTTACTGTTGGAAGTAGGAGGTAGGTTGCACCTAGTTGAAACCGGTTGTAAGTAGGTTGAACCAAACCAATCTGGTTACAAGTGGAGCCACCTACTTGTAACCAGATATTGTGAGTTAGAAGTAGTTGTAACCACATGTCAGTGGTTAGAAGTGTTGAAGCAAGATTTTTGTTGGTTAGATGTGGGTGGATAAAATTTATTTATTTCTCACAAACAAATCTTTTTTGCAATTTTTTTTCTTTGCAACTCTTTTTTTGGGGTGGCTGGCCGGAGTTTTTCTTGACTTCGGAGTCGGTGGGGCAGCGTCTCCCTTGTTGCTGCATGGCAGACTGCTGTGGCACTTGCTGTTGCAAAGGAGGCCGGCACGCCTGCAACCGCAGCGTTGAGTGGTGCACCGTTGGCTGCAGTTGCATCTCGTGAACCCTTGCCCCCCCGTCTTGCTTTGCAGAGTTGCGAGGCGGCGGAGCTTCAAGATGCTGTCCTTCGGCACGTCGTCTACCGTCAGGAAGGCTTCCTTGGTGACAGTAAACATGTTCCTTGCCAGCATTGTCTCTAGCACACCGTCCTTGTTTCCAACGCGATAGAAGCCATCCTCGGTGGCTTCCAGAACGACACAAAGGACATTCCTGGGGTCATTTTGAATTTTTGAATTTCGCTCCCGCCCGTGCCGAAAGTGGCCGAAACTGACGTTTCCGTGGCGCGGTCCGAGGCGCGCAGTCCATTGTTAGTGTTGTTATTGTTGTTCCCTCCCAACCCCTGCCCTTACTCACTAAGAACACTTCCAACCAACTCTCATTGGTTACAAGTGAAAATAAAATAAATGCAATGGTTCAACCTAGTTGTAGCCGGCCGACTCCTCGTTACAAGTAGGTGGCTCCACTTGTAACCAGATTGGTTTGGTTCAACCTACTTACAACCGGTTTCAACTAGGTGCAACCTACCTCCTACTTCCAACAGTAACACATATAACTCAAAATAGAGTTTGGAGCTTTATCTGTAACTTGATGCAAACCGCAAAGCATTACGACAAATTTTAATTTTGAAATTTTTTGGCGGGAAACCCTAGCTGATGTACTACTTTAAATCATAAATGTTCTGATATTAAAACGACATTTTATCCTTTTGTCCTTTAAGCCTATTTCGTCTCGGATGAGCCCAACGTGATCGTAGTCGACTGGAGCGACCTGAGCTACTTGCCTATCGGCAATGTCCAGGCAATAGGGAAGCGCGCAGCCCAGCTCCTGGACTTCATGGTGACAGCTTTTTCTAATCACCTTACATCAATAAGGATAGGTTCTGAAAAACAAAAAACTTCGATCGTTTTCGAAATTGATTTCACAATCGCAATAAATTTAGCGAAACAAACAGCGACTATCACCTTTTCGTGTGATAGCAAACTGCAATCCCCATCATGGGTTTTCTCAGGAACAGCCTAGAAATTGCCTGTCTTCACCATGGTAAAGATATAGGCGATGTAGATTACCGGGGAAAACCAGGAATCGTTTTCGCCGTGAGTTATGTGATTTCAGACCATGACTCATCATGATTAGTTTATTCGCAATGAACGTCGCCATGTAACGCAACTTTCTCCCCTATCGTGAACTGACTGCACTGAAAGATTTTTCACTGCAGTTGCATCATCATCAACGCTAAGCCCATTTCCGGATTCTTAGGATCCGCCCCTGACGCACCGAGTAATTAAATTACGTTCACGGCGCTCCAAAGTAAACATCATGACATGACACGGTAAAAACGGTACCTGGTTTTCACAGGAAGGAAGCCTATGGTAGAGAAATGGGTGATTGCCAGGGAGTTCCTGCGAATCCAGCACTCTAAATGTTCTACAGTGAAGATTCTCCATATTATGGTGAAAATGTTCCATATTATGGTGGTGCAGCTGACTTCGTAACATACCATGGAGAATTCACTGTACCTTTTAGAGATTTTGACGAATTTCGTTGGTATTATGGAGAAAATCTCCACCATTTTATGTTGGTGCATCCTTTCACCGTAAGACATTTACTGTGAGGAACCGTTTTTACCGTGGACCAATCACGGGTGCAGACGAATGCACCGTGCTCGTTTCGGCTCGTGGATATGCGTCTGAAGACAACGACTCGACTCAAGTTCTCCATTTCGTCCGCAGGTTCGAGAGGACCTGCTGCGACTGGATTGGCTGCACATCGTCGGCATGAGCGAGTCCTCGCACATCGCGGGAGTCACTGGAGAGAGCATCTCCACGGGCCGCGCCGCGCGTATCACAGGTCAGTCTAATGATGGGTCCAAGGAGAAATCACTGTGAATTTCGGTGTACAAATCCGATGAATTTCAGTCGAATTTCGATTATTTTCAGTCGCATTTCGATTAATTTCAGTCGAATTTCGATTAATTTCAGTCGAATTTCGATGAATTTGAGATGTTTGATGAATTTCGGTGTACAAATTTGACTGGAGTCATTTCCCCTTGGATGGGTCGCTTTCGAAACCACGACGGCCAAAATGAGGCAATAAATGTCTTTACAATGGAAGCTTAAGTTGTGTTACAGTGACTTTGGCGCACACGCCAAATGCCTATGGACTTTTTGACCATAACTGTTGCCATATTAAATTATCCGTGCATGTTAAAGTTATGTACAAATTTGTTCAAAAATTAGGTACAATTTTATAAATACTTGCGCATTGTGAATTAGACTCATTCCAGGAACGTGACATGCACGATGACATCTCGTTGAAATGAATGTGACGAAACGCCACGTTCCTTCGAGCACTGTGTCACATTCATTTGACTGTAAATAAGCTAATTTGTGGCTGAGTCACATCCCAAAGAATGTGACTCAATGGCTCGAAGGAACGTGACATTTTGTCACATTCACGTCAACGAGATGTCACGTTCCTGGAATGAGAGTGTAATCCGAAAATATTATCCCCAATTTGTGGTTAAAATAGTGCATAGCTTCCGTATGCACGGCAGTAGTTATGGACGATAAAAGTAGATAAACACACCGGTAAAACTGAAGCGTAGTTGTATGCTTGATTCAAGCATACAACTACGCTTGAAGACTTTACGCTTGACGTCAAGCGTAGAGAAGAAATTCTCCCATGCATTTAGATAGGCGGGAGAGGAGCAAAATGGAGAACTATGCTTGAAGCCGAGCGTAGTTCTACTACGCTTGAAGAAAGGCGTAAAACTGCGCTTGAGTTCTACCAGTGCATTCAGCGTGTAAACATACGAAGCAAAATTAATTCATCAAGGAATCTCTATCCGTAAAAATATTAAGGCATCACGTGAGGCCATTTCCGATCAAACACTCCTAATTTTCCATCTGTTGTGCCGTGTTCTTTTGTTTTGTTTTGTTTCAAGTAATTATCGTGATTTCCATGGTGTTCCCGGCAGGCCTTGACCCATCCCGCCCGTTCATCAACATGAAGGTGAAGGACGGCCGTCTGTCGGACGACGACGCGGACCTGGTGGACGTGGTGCACACCAACGCCGGCACCCTGGGCGAGCAGGCCGCCGTCGGCCACCTCGACTTCTACGCCAACGGCGGCAAGAAGCAGCCGGGCTGCGACCGGGAGTTCATCGGTACGTGGCGCCACTGTGAGAAAAAAGTACGGAAAAAGTACGGAACATGTCTGGTCATTAATTTGCCTGGACCGTCCGTACTTGCCAACTACGGAACGTTCCGTACCCCTTTTCCGTACCCATGAGCAAGTGCGGAACGTTCCGTACTTTTCTCCGTACCTCCGTACTATATTTTTCTGTACCATTTCCGTACAAAAAGTACGGAATTTTTTTACAGTGCGAAGAGACTGCGCACTAAATGTTTGCGTGCTTTTACTGTTCAGAACTAGGGCCGTTTTTGTACGTACAGAATGTATACATACATTGCACATGTGCAAATTTGTTACTTGTGACAATATTTCCATATCGTGCCCAAGTACTTAAAAAATTGTACCTAATTTATGTACAAGTCTGTTCATGTAACTTCCGTATGCACAGAAACGGCCATAGTTATGGACATAAAGTCCATAAAGCATTTAGTGCGTTGATCTCACTCTGATTCTAAATTACCCAGTAGAATGCGGTCAATTATTTTGCTAAGCTGCTATGCTGGTAGTAAGTCGGAGTCAGTTGGGGAAGGGTAATGAAAGTGCACCCTTTATCGAGCTGGCTCGTTTGACGTTTTGTAAGCCAGCGTATCCAATCTGGTTCTAGTCGATTCACTTTGAGACTGAGGTGACAGTCGAACGTGCGTAGGCCCCTCGGCGGACATTCAAACGAATGTGACGTCACGTTCTCACACTGTAAAAAATTATTGTGAATTTACGAAATTTTATTTTACAAATTCCTTGTAAAGTAACAATAACATTTCGTTATTTTATTAAATTTGTTTGTAAAGGCCGATTTATGGATTATTCATCACAGAAATCTTCTTAATTTTATGAAATTTGTTTGTGAACACCGCTTTATGAAATTGTACGAACTAAATACATCTCAAAAGTGACGATAATACTACAGTGAGGTCACAGAAATATGAAATGTTTCCTAAAATTACAACAAATCCATGGGTAATTTCGTTGCACAAATCGCTTGTAAAATTACGAAATAGGGTGATGCCTTCGTCATTTTACAAGATGTTTCATAGAACTACAAGATGTTTCATAGAACAAAACAAATCCGCTGAAACAAGTTTATCTTCATTTAATCAGCGTGACAATGTTGAACAAAAGCGGTCCACGTAAATTGGAACTTGTAAAAAGTTTGTGATTTTACGAACTACTGCGTAAAGAATAATTCATAAATCGATAAAAACATAAAAACGTTGTATATTTACAAATAATTCGTGCAACGAAATTACCCCTGATTTGTTTGTAAATTTACGAACAAATTTTTTACAGTGCAGAATAATACTGGTCTGTGAATGACCGGCCAGCAGATGCACATCTCCGATGTCGGTGACCGCAGCCGACAGTCGTTTCGCGCGGGCAGCGGATGCGTTCGGAGACTCTCTCTCTCTCTCCCCCCCCCTCTCTCCCCCTCTCTCCCTCACCACGTGACGCCCCATGAGTGTAGTCTTCAGGGGGACCGCGGTTTCCGCGATTGTGTATGATAGTTTCGGAAAGGCAGACAGAGCCACCACGTGCTAACGTCCGAACCACCGGCCTAGTCGCGACGCACGGGACTCGTGACGCCCCGGACTCGTGACGCCCCGGACTGTCTGGAGTGGCCGAGGAGGGGAATGGACGGTGTGTATAGAAATATATCTAATTAGAGGAGCCCGATTGGGAGAGAAATTTGTATACAGTGAAGCTGCAAAGTATATATACTTTGTATATGTTACATAGTATACTTACTATATATAGTAAGCTATAGCTGCGTGACCTTGATGGAATCATCGCTGTTTGATAGCAAAACTGAAATCACTTTCACACAGGTTTCACTTCAAAGAAAGTTGGAATATTCTATAGCTTTCCTAAATCAGGAGAAACTCTCAGGAAATCATACATCCTGATTTTTAGGCGCGAAGTAGCCTTATAGTATCCCCCAGGATTCAGCCTCGCTGGGATTTGATCGCGTGGCCCCTTATGCAAGTCGAAACCTTTCTGTACGATTTTGATGAGATTTTGCAGACTGGTAGAATTGATCCAGGAAGCGGAAGAAGGGAATAACTTGACTTATCCCCAAATTGAGTTTTTATTTTATTATTGTGCCTTAGAATGGTTTACATCATTACACCAAATTATTTGACTGAATTCCAAGCAGTTTAGGAGAAAATCCACTTGGAAAAAGGGTATAACTCAACTTAACCCCTTTTACAGTCTAAATTTCATTGGAAAATGGAGATAACTCAACCTTAGTCTACATGAGTCCGTTTGACAAATTGGCAAAAGGATATAACTCAACTTGTGTTTTTATGAATCTAGTGTAAAAAGAATCAACTCAACTTAACCCCCCCCTTTAAATTTTTAAAATTTTAATTTGGAAAAAAGAGCTAAGTCCAAAAAATACACCAGAGTAACATACACTTTATGCAGACTATTGTTCCACTTGACTTGTCTCCAAATTCCTCTCTGTTTAGGAAATATAAGGTGAGCTGACTCTGTTTTCCATTTCAACGGAAAGCGATAAGTCGCAGAAATCCTCTACGGAGTGACCTTACACTTTTTATGTTTTTCCAAAATTTTACTCATGCTTTTTTAAATTATTAACATTTGCAACATTCATTTGTTTTGTTTTACTTTTCCCTGCTAACAGTTTTTTGTTTCTCCTGAAAAATGGCCAAAATTGAGTTATCCCCTTCTTCCGCTTCCTGGATCAATTCTGAGACGTGATTTCAATTCTGGAATATGGTTGAAATCTTAGCGATAAATTTTGAGAAAATTGCCGTCAAAATCACTGTTTCCATAGCAAAGCTCGACTCGTCAACGAAAAGGGAAGAGAGAGGGGGGAGCCGAGCCAAACCCAACCAATAGCATGGCTCCTTTTCGCTTGTGTACAGGTTACCCCAAAAACGGTCGCTTCTTTGAAAAAGGACGTTCGAATAAAACACTTTCCGCGACCGTGATAGAACAGATGTAACAATAGCACAAGAGGGTTTTTTGGACGCAGTCTTTTCATTGGCACTGCACTGCAAATCCAAGTGTAGGACAGGTCGGCACTTTAAAGCGTAGACCAGTTTGTCCTACGCTTGCAAGTGTCGACCAGTTGTGTCCGACGCTTTGAAGTGTCGACCACTCTGTGTCCGACGCCTGCATGTGTAGGACACTGTTTGTCCTACGGAAAATTACACTGAGTTTCCTATTGTGACCCCACACTTCAGCCGTCGGACATTCTGTGGTCGACACTTGCAGGCGTCGGACACTGTGTGGTCGACACTTCAAAGCGTCGGATACTGTGTGGTCGACACTTCAAAGCGTCGGATACTGTGTGGTCGACACTTCAAAGCGTCGGACAAAACTGGTCGACACTTGCAAGCGTAGGACAAACTGGTCTACGCTTTGAAGTGTCGACCTGTCCTACACTTGGATTTGCAGTGTGCCTGTTGAAAATTTTTAGTGGGAATGTCTTTGCTCATGCGCGGAACATTACACAGTCATCAACATGGAAACCTACACTCATTGTGAGTTTTGTGTTTGTTTCATTTTCAATGTGTATTTTCTACCACAAAATTAATCTGTTTAAATTATGACATTATATCTGAATATATTTTGAGGACACATGTTGAAGAAAAGATTTAAAAATATTGAAAAACTAGAACAATTTTTTCATTTATCAACTCTTTACTGAATCAATAAAACAAAATTATATTTCTTAGCTCTGTCTTAGCTCTAGTTTTTGTTTGATGTTTCTTTTCATTCAGTTAGCACGATGACCACATCGCTCCACCTCGCGACTTTCAGTGCTCATGTTCCTCGAACAGGACTCACCAGCGATTCGAAACCATCCCTCCTGAGTTTATAAAGTTTGTCAAACCAACCGTCTTGGTGTTGTTACGTTGTGAATGAGAACTATTACACAGAATTGAAGAAAACATGACTAGAGAACCGCCTTTTGAAACAAGCCAAACAATTCAACGTCAGCAACAATGGCGGGGCAGTTTTAATGCGCGACTACTCGTGTTTTCGGCTTCGCTATTTTCGCAAGGGCGCAGTTGCCGAGAAGATTGTTGCCAACCCGCGAAAATTAATTTACTGCCTCCTTTCCCCCACGAACATTTTAATAATGATTGACTTCAAAGATGTTCCACTGTGGAATACATTAACATTGGAATTTTTCGAATTTTACGGCATTTTGATTTCTTCTTGTTGCCAAGTTTAAATTTTGACGGGTGGCACATCGACCACATTGGTACCACTGCCATTCGTACCCAAACCACCCCCTATCCCTTTTACACAACTTTTTTCCTCTCTCCACACTCCTACACAATAACCATATTGACTTCGTGACTCCTAGGATTTCTTGAAATCGTATTTTTTTTGAGAATAGACTTCGCTGTACTTTCCCTTCAGTTCACTCTTTAAGCCGAAGTCTGACTTGGTCGTTCTCCTTAGTAGTAGTATCATGTTGGCCGAAATTATGAATTCTTCACTAAGCTTTAGTCGAATTCACACTATAATAGGTTGAGTAGTCGATGTGGCTTAGCTTTTTTGGGGGGTGTTAAACTGCAGTTTTCTGCAGTATCAGTCTGGCTTGGTCCGACTGAATGAAATACCGGACCTGGTGTAGTCGGTTGAGTGTGACGTCACGTCCGTTGATTGGCTCGCGGTGGATGCAAGCCGCTTTAGCCTCCAGATAGCTCGTCACCGAATCGGGCGGCCTGCGGATCGGGCTACACTCCAAATCCAGTGGCTAGTTTCCTCGCCACTGGAGTGGCGTCTTTTCCAAAGCGCCAAAATTTGGCGTTGTCATCCCTGGTTTCCGGATTCCATGCCAAATTTTGGCGTTCCACAGAGAGCGCCAAAATTTGGCGTTCCATTCCCCAGAGCACCACAGACCAGAACGCCAAAAATTGGCGCTGCAAAAGAAATGCAATAATTTGGGTTGGAAAGCGATACCCATTCACAGAAAAATCAATGTGCATA